CTGAGGATTGGATAAGACATCATAAATAATGTCATTGTACAATTTTCCAAAATAGAATTTACATGAGTGATTGAATAATAAAAATAAGAAAAATGAACAACTAAAATCCTTCAAACACAGTGCCAAAGAGTCCATTCTGATTCCTGGTGACCCACCACCGTGCTCCCAGACTGAAAATCTTTACCAAACCAGGCTGCCTTTTCTTTCTTATGAAGAGTTGGCTGGTAAATTTGAACCAGTGACCTTTTAGTGAGCCGCAGAACCTGTAACCCACCGTGTTACCAGGCCTGCTACTTGCCCTTTAAACAGGAATTTATACTCATTGTGAACCAACCTCCAACTGGTACTTTTTTTTTAAATTCATTTCAATGAACATTTACAGAGATTTTTGATTTCCAGTCATTCATTGTTGCACTTTTCTCCCTGCCCAACCCTTCCCCCCTGCCCCCGCCCCCAGTTTGCTCCTCGCTCCTCTCTTTGAAAAGTAAAAGAAAAAGTCCATCACTGGTGTACAATCCCCCCGCTCCACTATGCAACCTTAATTCTGGACTCTTGTGATAACCAACTGGTACTCTTCATCACAATCACTCTTGTTTGTGGCAAGAGCAGCTTTTAAATCACTGAAAGGGTCTGAGCCCTTTCTTGCACTAGATAAGAACCATATGCTCCTGTTCTGATTTACCTACACATTCTTAGAACCACACTCCGGGAAGGATGTCTCAAGGAAATCCTGCCCGCCATCTGCAGATCCTGGGTGAAAGGAAGAACACCAACCACCATTTTTAATTATTTTTTTAAGCCTTTAAAATTGCAACCTTTGCAATTGACATGGCTATTGAATGTGAAACTTTCTACCTGGCTTACATTTCATATTTACTCTTGTAACCATGCCTCCAACAAAGTGTCAGTCCTGTGCAAATGACTAGGAAAAGGAAAACCATTACAATGGAAAATAAAGTGGAAATAATAAAATGATTGGAGGGAGGTGAATCGCTGATGGTCATGGGAGAGCACTAGGTTACAGACGTTCACTGATGAGAGTATTTTAAAGGATAAAATTATGATAATGGAGTGCGTGAGGGCTCTGCCTCCTTGATGAAAGCGACCATTATTACTAAGCAATGCAGCACTTTAATTATGGAAATGGAAAGCCAGTTGGTAATCTGACTGGATGACCAGAATCCCAGCAACAGGCCTGTTAGCCTGACTTTGGTGCAAGAAACGGCTCTAAGCCTTTTGAAGGACTTAAAAGCTGCACACGCAGCAAATGAAGGTGCCTCTGAGCAAGAATTTGTGCCGAACCAGGCTTAGTTCAAAGTGGGGGCAAATGTACATCAAGGTCAAAGGCTAGCACCAATGTGAGTGATGCCATTGATGGATTGGGGAAAATGACTGAGAAGAGAGCTTATTTGCTAGACCACTAAATATTCAATGTTGACAAGACAATGGAATTCAAGGAAGATTAGGACTCCAGAGCATTCGATCCAAAAAAGTTTCTGATGAAGGAGTTGGCAGAAGGCTTTCAACTCATTGATTCAGGGATGGCAAAGTTACAGAGGCAAAGATTCCTTAACCTAACCTTACCTACCAGAGCTCCCTGATTGAGCTGTGACTAACTGAAAAAGAGAACTCTGGTGGCCTACTAGGTAACGGGTTGCACTGCCAACACAAAGGTAGGGAGTTCAAATCCACCAGCTACTCTGTAGGAAAAAGATGGGCAGTCTCCTGTGTGATTTCCAGCCTCTGAAAACCCACTGGAGGGTCAGCTATGCATCAGTTCCAACTTGGTGGCATAGAACACTACCACTAGGAGAAAGATCAGCAACTCTAATCCAAAGGGGGAGAATGATGGGCAGTCAGTCACCTCTTATAAAGATTTACAGCCTTGGAAAGCAAAAGGCAGGGTCACCATGAACTGTAACTGATTGGAAGGCAGTGGGCTTGGTGGGGTTTGAAATGGTTTAATGCTTTATAGTTCTGTGTACTTATCTGTGTGTGTACGTGCACACACACTCTCACACAGAGATTATCTCTTCAGTGTAGATAGCACTGCAAGAAATTCCTTTATTGTTCTCTCTCATCATGATCAAGTCAAAACTAACTCATAGCTGACCTTCCATTGGGTTTCTCAAGCTGTAAATCACATGAGAAGAGATTACCCAGCTTTTCCCATCAGAACCACTGTCAAAACTTAACCCTGTTGTCTACACCTCTGGGTTAGCAATGCAACTCCTTACAGACACCATCACCGGAGCCCCCTTTATGCCACATAAGTGTGTCTTACGTGCTTTATATGCATTGTTATTGTTGTTAGGTGCTATTGACTTTGACTCATAGCACGACCCTGTGAACAGATCTGAACCTTGCCCTATCTTGTACCATCCTCATGATTAAGCCCATTGTTACAGTCGCTGTCAGTTTTTCTTATTGAAGGCCTTCCTATTTTCCTATGTTCTTCCACCTTTCCCAGCATGATGTCTTTTTCCAAGGACTGGTCTCCTCCAGACAACATACCCAAAGTACAAGAGACAAAGTTTCACCATCCTTGCCTCTGAGGGGCACCACAGTTGTACTTCCTCCCAGACAGACTTGTTCTTTTGGTAGTCTGTATTCAGTGCTATCTAACACCACGATTCAAAGGCATCAATCCTTCTGTCATCCTTATTCATTGTCTAACTTTCAGATGCATAGGAAGCAACTGAAAATATCATGCATGTTGTAGTTATGTACCATAGAGTCAGAATTGATCGACCCATAGCTGACCCTCCAGCAGGTTTTCAGAGGCAGTAAATCACACCGGAGGAGACTGCCCATCCTTCTTCCACGGAACAACTGGTAGATTTGAATCACATGCCTTCAGGACAGCAGCACAGTCCGTACCACTAGGTCATGAGCAACCTGTTTGTTGTTGTATACCTTTGAGTCGGAAGAGCCTCAATGCTGACTGTCCAGCAGGTTTTCAGAGGCGGCAAATTGCACAAGAGGAACGTGCCCATATGACACTAAGTAAGAACTGTGTGTACCTATAGCATACATGTTCTTGTTGGTAGGTGCCATCGAGTCTTGCATGACTCAAAGAGTTACCCATGACTTGAATCTTGTCTTAGCCTGTGCCATCCTTATCATCTGTGACACACTTAAGGTCATTGCTGCAGTCACTGTGTCAGTCCATTTTGTTGTGGTCTTCCTCTCTTTCGATGACCCTCCACGTTTCCAAGCATGACGTCCCTTTCCTAGGAATAACCTTTCCTAGCAGCACACCTGAAGTATGAGAGACAATGCTTTGCCATCTTTGTCTCCAAGGAGAACTCTGGTTGGGCTACATAAGAACTCTATTACCTGTTCCCATTTACTTACAAATTTAATTTAAAGACAGACTTAGGTTAGGGGAGCTCTGGTGGCCTAGTGGCAAGAAGCTGCACTGCAATCCCAGAGGAACACGGTTCGAATCTACCAGATGCTCTGTCAGAGAAGGAGGTGCAATATCCTCCTGTACCAGTCAGATCTGATTTGACGGTGCACACACACAAAATAATAAAAAAATAATAAAAAATTTAAAAAAAAAAACACAGACAGACTTAGGAACTGATCTCACTTGTAACCTAAGGACTGCCTGTATAGCTAGTTATAAGGAGTTTGGATTGTTTTCAAAGAGCAATGGGAAGTTACTGGAGAGCTTTAAGCTGGCATGTTAAAGTTCTTCCCAAATTGAAGTTCTTGGAATATTGCCAACCTTCCTATAATCTCAGTCAGCATCAAGTCTGACTATAAAAATCTTAGTCTCTGGGTGGTACAAACCTGTGAATGCACCTCAAAAGAAAGGCCTAACAATCTATTTCCAAAAGGTCACAGGTCCAAAACCCTAAGGTGACTCTCATTGAGTCATAGCTGTCTCTCCAGCTGGTCTCTGAGGCTGTAAATCACATGGGAGGAAACTGCTTGGTTTTTGTCCAGTGGATTCGAACAAACATCTTTGGTAAGCAGCTCCCTTCCCTATGAACTAAACCACTAGAGCGCCCCTGATCCCTCTGAAGCAGGGATCAGTTCTGACACAGAGGGTCACCATTAGTCTTAACAGCCTGGACAGCAACTGGTTTTACCAGCATGAGCCCTTCCCCTCTCCCGCTGAGCTTTAGACACGCTAAACGTTTCCTTCCTCAAATCACTCATCATTGCCTCTGGCTGTGTTCCCTCTGCCAGAAAGATTCACTTTCTATCTGTAACTTATTCTTGGTTTAAGGATTACTGGCTCTTGAAGGCTTTTCCTGAACCCCAAATTGGGACTGGCGCCTCCTCTGGGTTTGCACAGCCTCCCCATCACAAGTCTGATTCGCCTTTGACTGGAGTGCCAAGAGGATAGGGGCAGGGTGTATCTTATGTTTTATTCACTGCAGAGCCTGACACCTGAAAAATCATTATTTATCTTGGTTGCTGGAAGGAGCAGGGCCTGGCAAGTGCCTAGGTCCTTGTGACCCGTCCCTGTATGCAAAATGACCCCCAACTAACACTAAGATGGTCCCCGCTAGCGATAGTCCGCAGTTCCTGTGCATGCGCCATTGCCGAGGCGCCCACCCCCCACTATGCTAATCACTGCGCTCAGGAGAAGGCTCCTCCCGGGAATATGCAAATCACCCTTCCAGCATTGGAGGCTTTCCATTGCCCTGCGCGAGGATTATGCAAATGACAAGGTCTCGCGTCCACGATCAGGACCCCCACCCTACCCCATTTTTATAAGACACGCTCCTCCTCTGCACACGCAAGCGCATACCCTGCTGCAGCTTTTCGGTCTACCGCGCGGACTGTACCAAGAAAACCTGACCAGTAAGGGGGCAATGCCCGGCACCCCCTGAGAGGACCCCTCTGAGAGCCAGCCCCGGAGAGCCCTTCTCTGAGTGCGACGGGAATGGTCCGTCTCATCGCGCAAGCGCCTTAGACTCTTGGCGCCCCTTGCGCTCCCTCTTTCTTCACTTGAAGCGCAGGCGCAGAGCGGGGTGCACGGCTGCAGCTGCAGCCACCGAGCCCGAGCTGGGGCCACTAGCGCCGGTGAGTGTCCGGGGGCAGGGGTGCGCGGAGCATGCCGGGAAACGGGCGCTATGGCCCCTTTGCATGATGGGAGCGACAGCTACCGAGGAGCCCAGGAGCCAGCAGTGGTCTTGAGCTACAATAACTTAAGTGCGAGATCCTGATTCCTCCTTCTCCCCCATTTGCGGCCCCTAGCCGCCCTGGGGCATCTTGGGAAAAGGAGACTCTCGGGACTGTATAGCCTTGTAGGCGACGTTCCGCTAGTCGTTATAGGCCTGGTGCATTCTGGGAAGGTTTATCCTGGTCCTGGTTAGGAATTTTTTAATACACCCTCCATTGAGCATCTTGGAAGCTTGGAGGACATCAGTGGTTATGGAAGATGAGGCCTGAGGCATCTTGGGAAGGATTGCTCAAAGGCATTTTGGGAATTGGTCCTTATTGTCTTATATATAAGATTTTGTTCTGGTTTCCTTGCACTGGGATAATTGGAGCCTTTATTTGTAGTCAAGCAGGTTATGTTGGGAGTTGTTTGTTGTGGATTCAGAGCATTGTAGGGGTCTCAGTTTTTTAATGGTATTGAAAACACTTCTTTTGTGCCCCTGGTGGCCTAGTGGTAAGAAGCTGCGCTACAATCCCTAAAACTCGCGGTTCGGATCCACCAGCCGTTGCAAGAGAGAAGGTTGGGAAATCTCCTTTTTTATTAACTGCCTCTGAAAACCCATCAGAGGGTCAGCTATGAGTCTGTTCTGAAGCAGTGGTACAAAACAACAAAGGTGTGAGAGATTCTCTGCGCCCTGTAGGAATTGTAGCAGTCTTTGTAAGGGATGCCTCCACCAGGGCGGTACGACATTTTCTGGAAGGGGCCTTGTGTCGTCTGGACTTGGCATGTTGTGTCCCTTCGAGTTAGAACCCACCCGTTGGTGACCCTCCAATGGGTTTTCAAAGGCAGTTAATTGCACAGGAGTAGATTGTCTATCTTTCCCTTTTGGAGCAGCTGGTGGATTTGAACTGCGTGCTTTCTGTAGCTTCTTACCACTAAGCCACCAGAGGTTCCTGGGCTTGGCATAGAGAACGCTAATGGGCATTGACTATGGTGTACAGTGGCCAGATAAAATAAAGGACACCCCTTTATTTTATTTTTTTTTCTTTTTTTTTTTTTTTTTACATTTCCTATAATTATATTTT